TGAAATAAATGATTCTATGTCAGTTTACTCTGTGATGAACTGAATGATTGTATGACAGTGAACTTTGTGATGAAGTGAATGATTCTATATCAGTGTAGTTTGTGGTGACGTGAATGATTCTTTATCAATGAACTTTGTGTTGAAGTGAATGCTTCTACATCAGTGTTCTCTGTGGTAAAGTGAATGATTCTATATCAGTGAACTCTTGTGTTGAAGTGAATGATTCTATATCAGTATAAACTGTGATGAAGTGAATGATGCTATATCAGTGGATAAATCAATGATTCTATATCAGTGTATTCTGCGTAGTAGTGAATGATGCTCTACTTCCTTGATCTTCGTCAAAAGGAAACATATCCTTGTCGTAAGGAAACTTTCAAACGTAATATATATGAGGAAATGTTTAGTCTTAACGAGGAAAAGGTCGACATTTGTCGCATTTCTTTATCAGGTGACACGTTTATCGTCCTGTATTCAATCATTATGTGAATACAACGTCGTCAGAGTCAACTGTGGAAGTGCAGTTATCTTGAACGCAAAGTTAAACCCGTTTCACCTCACCTCAGAGTTATACATACCACCCTGGCGTTAAAAATGTTATAGTTAGTCATGTTAGTCGCCTCTACGACAAGCATGGGAAGACCTATGATTACCAGCCCGTGAAGAGATCACCCGTTTAATAAACTTACATACATCAGTCAACCAGCAGAAACATCGACCCAGTTTAATTAAATGAAAACTTCAACGCTAGAGATTACCCATCCTCCATTATCCACTGAATCAGATTTCATTGGGCGTAGGTCAAGGTCACCCTTGATAAACACATATTTTGTTTAGAGGCATTTGTTATCAGAACGTACGTTGAATTTTTTACCATAATTCATTCTATGGAGTTGCGTCTCTTACGCATGCCAGGGACGGATGATCGTGACCTCGAATCCTTAATTCGCACTCTTTCCCCCTTGGTTTGTGAGTGAGTGTGTGAGTATGGTTTAACGCTGCTTTTATCAAAATTCCAGCAATATCACGGCGGGGGACATCAGAAATGGGCTTCACACTTTGTACCCATGTCGGGAATCGAACCCGGGTCTTCGGCGTGACGAGCCAACGCTTTAACCAGTAGGCTACCCGACCGCTCCGTGGGCGTAGAAGGCACAATAGCGGTGATTTCTTTAAATGGATCACAGAAAACCCAGTGGAGGGGAGCATGCCCCTCCCTACCTCTAGCGTCCGCCACTCATACAATTTCCATAAAGAAGTAAGTGTTGGTTGCCTGACGCCGCAAACCGCAACATAACAGACGGTGACCCTTTCTTTTAGTTTACTTATTGTAGTTAATATTCGTTTTTATTTATCAAATAAAATGCAAGTTATGTAAAATAATATACAAATTACATAAATTTGTGAAGAATTAATTAAATGGAAGTTTGGCTTGAATCAAATTCAAAATCATGTATCAATTACTCCCATAGTAAAGTCTCTGCTTGAGGAAACATCCAGAGGAGGTCGCGTCTATTCAGCCAATCAACATCGAGGTTTATAACGCTTGAAACAAGGGATCAAAGCATTTATAGAAGCATATCTGACTTCTGCATCTCGAAGACGAACTAAAAGGAAAAGTTCAGAAAGTAGATAATATAGAGGCACCTTTATATTGGTGTGTATATTTCATCCGAACTGTCGTGGATTAAGCAGTCAAAGCTAATATCATCGCAGGTATATGTGTATTCTATGTGTGCTTTTATTTCTACCAATCGACATTTCCGAAAAGAGATGGCAAAACAATGAAGCCGAAAGCTGACAGCTTATCGCCTCAACAACTAACGGACTTTTCTGTTTGGGGAGTAAAATTCGCTCAGGGCGACTTTCTGTGTAGTGTCCTCAGATCTTACCTCTCTGGCTATCCTGAATTAAATGAGACTGTTTAACACAAACAAGACGTACAGGAACCAGAATACACACCAAATACATCTGTTTTAAGCAGCAATGTTTGTATAGTGTCAGAAACATGGTCCTAGTTACTGTCGGGGTAACGTTGGAAACGTTAGTGTGATCTCGAGAAATAGTATTATTGTATATCTCATGTCGCCCCGAAAAAATAGTGCCCTGGAAGTTGCCACAATCTTCGGGTTACTGCTACTAGTTGATCATGAAACACGGAAGGTAGAACCGCAATCGGCAGATCGTCGGCAGCTGTTACCAGCTGCTACCTACGTCACTATACTTCCTGCCGCTTCAAACAGAAATACGAAATATCGCGATGATTGACTAGTGAGTGAGTATGGTTTTAGCAATATTCCAGTAATATCACGGCGGGGGACACCAGAAATGGGCTTCACACATTTTACCCATAAGGAGGATCGAACTTGGGTCTTCGGCGTGACGAGCGAACGCTTTAACCACAAGGCTACCCCACCGCTCCGATGATTGATTAACGAAGATAGCTTCATGTGTGCTGATACTTATAAAGTTAAAACAAGACAGGAGAAGACATATGCTTGTCGTAAAAGGCGACTAACGGGATCAGGTGGTCAGGCTCGCTGACTTTGTTGATGCATGTCATCGATCCCAATTGCGTGGATCGATGCTCAGGATGTCAATCACTGGATTGTCTGGTCCAGATTCGATTATTTCCAGACCGCCGTCATATAGTTGGAATATTGCTGAGTGCGGCGTTAAACAACAAACCAACCAACCCTTTCTTTGTCTTTCTGTTTGTGCTGCTAATGTATATACGCAGAACACGCTGCGACACAAGCTCCTTCTCAGCGCGTGATACCTTCGTTTCCCCTTCGGTGACATCGCTGCCACCATTGTGGGCGCGGCCATTACAAAAATCTTGAAATTTGACCTCTAACCCCAAATGTAGTAACGTTTATACCATCATTTTGAAAAGGTTTACGACTGACCATGTTTTCCAGATTAATTTACTTTGTTGTTTGAATAATCAGATTGGTTCGAGATTGAAAATCAACCAACTCCCTTACATTCTTACTATATTAGTAACACGATAGTTTTAATGGAACAGAAATTCAAATTGACAAACAAAGAAAGTAATTTAGCAGCGGTAAGTGTATTCGGCGTCACGATAGTCGTCACTTGTTTCTAAATATAACGGTCATTCGGTTGCGAGTTCAACTCCAAGCATGGTTGTGGCCACCTATCACAGTGGGGAGTTATGACTGGTGGCATCGATGGTATAGAGAGCTCCACGAACGGGTTATCGCTGTGAGGAGCTTGGCTGCGACATTTACCCGTAATACAGTCACTTGCCGACGTTCACCCGGATGTTTATCACGTGATTAAAACTCAGCGATGATGTTTATCGGCAGCAAATTGGATATTTCGGGAAAAGCACGTTTTGCAACTTTTGTCATTACTGTAAAGTAATATTCCTTACCGACGGAATGGCTTCTTTTCAATTTTTAAGTATTAGCCCTTTTAAGTATGTGGCCTGTACATATCTCACCACTCGGTTCGAATTGGTCTAATTGACATGTCAGCACTGGCTGGAATCCATATAATATGACCATAAAATGTGCTCCATTATTTTGTTTTTAAATCAAAGAGTATACATCACACCAGCCAACACACACTTGTAATACAACTGTCGTCGTATGAACTAAAGGCGGTGTGATCTGGCGATTCACGTTCAACTTTTATTGCTGTCCAAGGTATTGTGCTGGAATAATCAAGCCGAGTGGACCGGAATGTATTTCTTCACTGTGACCGTATGTTCGGTTTTCGCGATGTATCGCAGCCTTTGTTCTGTACCGTATATGTAACGTTTCACACAGTCGCACACGAGTGTTGTTGTAGCATTATACCGTACAGGTAGTATTTGTAAATAATCGAGGCTGACCAGACAATCCAGTGATTGACGTCAGGCGCATCGATCCACGTAATTGGGATACGAGCCTGACCACCCGATGCCGTTAGTCGTCTCTTACGGCAAGCATGGGTTGCTGAAGAATTATTCAAATCATCCTTTGTCATAATATCATGTGGCAGTGAAAATCTTTGTAACTATAATTTAATGAAGCGCACGTAAAATATGTTTTGCTGGCCTTTGGTGATCGTCCCACGGCAGCCCGTAACACAGAGTGACCTCCCTTAGTGTTTTAGTCTAAAACACAGTCCGAACCATCAACGCCTTCATTTTCCTCCCGCTATAGAGCTCTTCTGTGAGGAACTTTTTCCTTCAAGGACTTGTTTACAGTTATTAACCTTCGAGAACTACATGGTTCCAGATGCTTCGAAGTAGAAGTCTGTCGAAGGTTGCCTGGACCCATATAGGAGAGAGACAGTTCAAGGTCTTCCATCTGCATCTGACTTGCGTTTTATATACTTGCTCAATGCGGACGAGATACCCATCGGAAAACACAGACCTTTCTGTCTGTTTCCAACACTGTTTCCTGAATTCAAGAATGGAGCACGTGCCTCATTCAAACATTCAACTGTTAAACTTGGTATCCCCATCTTCCCGTAGGCGAGGGAGCTAATGGGCTATACGACCCTTACTTCCACCCTTGCGGTATAGTCCACTCAAAATCGCGTAACGAAATTGACATCCAGTTCGTCAACTGCTGTGCAGGTTTCGGTCGATTGTAAAGCATGTGTACCGTCAACTTGTTGTCAACAGATATTTTCCAAATCATTTCATGTTGATTTGATGCACTATGCGAAGTAAGACCCGTTCTTTTAACAATATAGATTTTGATTATCGATCTTATCATCTTGACTGGGCGCCGCCATTTTTAAGCAAATGCAGGTTATATGATAGGTGGAATCTGATTGTCAATTGGAGGGACAAAAGGGACATAACTCGTAATAGCCACTGGTGGCGCTACGATCGAGCCAAGAAATTCCAGCCAAATTCGGCAAGATTGGAAACTGGACTTTTGTAGTCAGTTAACTCCCTTGCCTCGGGAAGATGTGGTATCCAATGCGGAAAAGAATCAGACACGTCGTTTTGGAGTAAAATAGTAAAAAACACAATATTTGAGGACATCTTTATTCAACTAAGGACTACACAAAATTATATGTACTTTATTGAAGGAGACGTTATTGAGCCTTATCTTTCATTAGAGTTGATAAATAAGTCTACATAAACGATAAACACAGATAGACAGATGTTGGTAAATATACGGAGGGACAGATATATGATAACAGCTTAACTCCACTAAGATCTACACAAAATCAAATGTACTGCGCTGAAGGATAAGTTATTAAGCAACTTCGTACGTTACACGTCGTAATATAGTCGGGATCAACAACAAACAAAAACTAGAACAAAACGGAATATATAGCATATAAGTTGTTATTTATACATAAATTAACTGGAACGCTATCACTACAAACGAGACAAAAAACAGATAAATGTTTTAAAATATAGCATTGGAGAATTCTGTGAGCGAATTTGATTACAACCAATTTCAACTTGGCCAACAGTGTGGTTCAAGGAGACTCCAAAATACATTGCCCTTCATGTTTATACATTTTAAATAAATGGTTGTATATTTTGCCAAAAAGACATTTCAACATGGCTACCATGGAGGATATGTTAAGTAATGACTGTTGACACGTTACACACTTTTTATGTATACCGAATTATTATGAATTCAACAAGCAGTATAAAAAATGTTCAGTACACTGAAATAAGGTATAACTGTTGTTATTGTTTAGTCTGTCCATATGTATGCATGCGTCAACTAACATTTCTTGCAAAATCGGTGCTCCCTGTGAAGACCATTGACTTTACTTACCCAACTTTATTCTATTACACTTTGAGGATACTAGTGGAAATTATTAATATTATATTGGTAATTAATAATAAGGCTGCTTTGAACAGCATTTCAGTTACATCACGATGGGTTAGCGTAACATAGGAGGACATGCCCCAGTAAAGTAGGTCATGTAGAGTCGAACCCAGTATCAGCAGATCCTGATACGACAAATGGAATTATGACCTTGGCAACTTGGGCCCTTTATTCATATTGAATACGGAATGCAACTCTTCTGTTTGGTAACGATGGTTTCGGTATCATGTAAATAGATAGTAGCTACACATCTGAATAAATTCAAAACCACATAGTAAGAGTTTAAGATGTTAGCAATTTGTTATATGGACTAAATTATAAATATATAAATTGATGTGAAATTGGTAATATACCCACAGACGCCAACTCTAGAATAAACAACTAAATTTACAACGCTTTTAAAATACAGATGATAATTTATGTAACTGTATGTAAATTTAGACACAATTTAACGAAAGGTAATTTGTAATAAGACAAATGTATGTTAAGGCTGGTTGATGTTATATTTGCAAAAAATATGTAGGCTTGTAAATGTCGCATATTCCACGGTTACTTACCCTTGTGAAGTGATTTACACTACTTTACAATAAGTAAAGGTACTTTGAATATATTTCTTCCAGTGCAATACATAACGGCATCTGTGGTGAAGATGCTGGACAAGTGTTACTGTATATCTTATTGTTTGCGATAATAAAATATGCAATAAAGTATAATAAATGATATCCTATCATGTATTATATCCAATTATATTAAACGGAATGGGTGATATAAACGACAATAGCGATTGATTGGTCAACAGTGAAATTGAACATTTTGCAATATTCACTGACAAATATAATATTTTTACAATTCAATTTTGCTTCCTTGTGTTTACATTTAGTCCAAAAAGTTGTGTTTCTGTTTTTACAAATTGGATACTTATTTTCATGTGACGGAATGCGGAACAAAATAAAACATAGCGAGAGTAAAATGACCTCAACTTACTCTAAATAATACATAAGTAGCAACATACTAATGTACTTGGAATATAATGAAAAATAAAAAGATCATTCTATTCTCATAATGGAGAAAACATTTGTTTTAGTTGCTTCCAATGTCTGTCATTCCTGCAGTTACTATTTGGAGTAGTAATACAGAACTCCAGAAGTCGGTCTGAGGCCGAATGACGCCTCCAGTTTCCCCAGCGCATCCGCGAAGGTAATCCTGTCCTCTGGCTTCTGCTCCCAGCAGCTTTGCATCATGCTGTAGTGACTGAAAAATAACACCACAGGCTATTATATTCTCGTTTCACAATAATCATCCACTTGTTTTACATATTTACCCTTCACAAAGCAGCCGTAGCGTTACACTCCGAATCTGCACTTCCATTACATTACACACAATACTGGAAGCATTATAAGGTGTTTTTCCTTGCCTCCGTGGGGTTCCCGGGCAGAGTGAGTGAGTTGGGGTTAACGCCGTTTTTAACAATATTCCTTTTTTTTTATCACGGCGGGTCAGCTTAATGTGGGAGGAAAGCCCGAAGTGATGCAGGTCTCAGACGCTTACCACTTCGGTGAAACCCAAGAGCACGGGTATAGTGCTGACAAACCTAGAAACGTAATCGGGGCCACCCGGGATTCGAACCCACAATCATAGGTTTCTGTCGTGCCCAAGGGACGCAACTGTGCACAGCGAATCGCGGCGCCTTAGACGACTTGGCCACACTTGCCGGTCAGGAAAGGGCTCCCAGTACTTCATTCTTCATGGCTGGTTGTGTGCCATCGTCCCCGACAAGGATCGTTAACGTTGTTCATGTAGTCGACCACAGGCTGACCTGACCAAGACTCGAGTATTCACAAGCCGCGGTAATAATGCCGAAATCTTGCTGACGTTAAACAACATTATAAACCTCCGGTGACGTCATCTTATTATTCTCCAGTCAGATTAAATCTCATAAACAGGGACGTTGTAATGTCCCTGGGATTTTATGGGATATTCAAGTCATATTTGCTAAATAATGGGTTATAATATCCCAGGGATTTTATATTATGTCCTGGGTATTTTATTAATATAACTTTCGTTCAGATTGTAACATGAAATGAAATGTAAAATCAAATGACAAATGTTTGCTTTATATTCCCGAGGATCGAACTCGCAACCTTCATATCTGTAAGGTGAGGTGTTGATAAGCCAAATAGGCTTCTCTGGAATTTTCATTAATTGTCAAGATCACTTAATGTAATAATTACCGTATTAAACATCACTGCTATTAATACACATGCGTTTATCACTCACATATCTTCAGCATAGTCCGGCCTCGCGAGTCTGTAACCATTCCTCAAGTCGGCTGGCAGATCCCGGCTCCGCATGTCAGTGTAGGGCATCTTGCCTGTGTGGGATAAAGTGCAGGGATATACTAAAACCAAATACCCTCCATGACTATTCCGTGAGTTTTAGATGTTTTCCATGACCTCAGATATATCAGCTGAACTGATTGGTGAGCCAGTCATATGTACCAGTCTAAGTACTGTTTAATGAACACGGGCGTATGCGGTCGGAATTTTATACTCTTTAACTTTTCCTGCTTTAGCTCCAGCCTGTGTCCTTGTAATACACTGATGGATGATGCCACAACAGAGTATATCAGCGCTGGTAAGCAGTGTTTGGAATCACTATGGACTATGATCAGCGAGTTGTTTTGTCTGTGTGTTCATTTTTAACGAGAAATATAGTGTAATAAACTTAAGCTAAAAAAGTGATCCATGACATTTCCATGGCATTTTGAATAATTTTGTTTCAAAATCGTTTACAGGCTCTTGAAATGTACTATTAAAATGCCATGACTTCTAAAGGATTTAAGGACGGGACACTGAAAATATTAATCGTGCATAAAATCTTCACTTGCGGAAAGATTAAGATCAGTGAGTAAAGCCTAAGGCCTTAAATTTCTTTTATAATAAATCTCCTCATAACCGAACCAGCAACCCATGCTTGCCGTAAAAGGCGACTATGCTTATCGCAAGAGGCGACTAACGGGATCGGGTGGGCAGGCTCGCTGACTTTGTTGATGCATGTCATCGACCCCAATTGCGTGGATCGATGCTCATGATGTCAATCACTGTATTGTCTGGTCCAGACTCGATTATTTACAGACCGCCGTCATATAGCTGGAATATTGCTGAGTGCGGCGTTAAACAACAAACAACCAAATCACATCCACCAACAGCTAATGATAATGTACGTAAACGTTCTCCAACTGGAGATTTGAATAATTAACCTATGTACCCCACGAGGAACCCAATATTGGATTTAAAACTAAATTGTTTTTTATTTAAGCTTTTGTTCATGTGCAACTGTCATTATGTAATATTAATATAATCATTAGAGAGTTCTATTACCCATGAGGGATCCGGCTTAGAAAAGTGCAGCGTTAAACGTGAAACACAAACATCACATGTTTTAGGAATCTATATCCTCACATTCTTTCATGAGGCAATGGAAACTATACCAAGTATTCTTACCCATGCTGAAGATCTCCCACATAGTGATCCCAAAGGACCAGATGTCACTCTTCTCATTGGCTCCCTTCAGAGATTGAAGACACTCTGGAGCCGTCCACTTCACAGGGATTCGATCCTGTAATAATGTATATTTGTGCCGAATTACATATTGACAGTAAGGGTTTATGTCATTTTGTGTTAAACATTGTTTTCTTATTTTAAAAAGTAATGACAAGCTTATAAGAAATTATTTAAATGTCTACGGTGTTTATTGCCAAAATGAAAATCATGGTGTGTAACTACATCATAGATGCAGGGAACTTTGTTTTGCTTGTTGTTTAACGCCGCACTCAGCAATATTCCAGCTGTATGACGTCGGTCTGTAAATAATCGAGTCTGGACCAGAAAATCCAGTGATTGATATCATGAGCATCGAACCACGCAATTGGGATCGATGACATGCATCAACAAAGTCAGCGAGCCTGACCACCTGATCCCGTTAGTCGCCCCTTAAGACAAGCAGTCGCCTTTTAGGGAAATCATGGGTTGCTGAAAACCTATTCTACCCCGGATCTTCAGGGAACTTTGATTCCCTGGGATGCCATACTTTAACAGAAGCATTTGATACATGGTACACTTCCCATTGGAAATTGCGGGAAGAGGTCAGTCACAAGTACACCTAATAGTCATTAGGTCCTTCTAATGAGGGCTGGGTGGGTAAAACGTATCCGTCGTTTGTCATGGTGCATGTGTCGCTGCTAAAATTGAATGCAGTCAACCACTGATTTGCCTGGGAGCCGTTTCACAAAGCCATACGACTGTGGTACGTCCTTGTTATAGAATGGAACTTCTTAGTGTTACAATTGCTTTGTGAAACGGGGACCTCGTCGAGACTCGATTACTCACAAGCCGCAATGATGTAATTGTGACCACATGATGTAATTGTAAACAGCATTTCGTCTCTTACCCCCTTGGAGTCTTCGTCTGCACTGGCGTCCTCCATGCGACAAGGTCCGAATCCACCGACCTTCACCTCATTTGTGAAGGTCAAGAGACAGTTGCGAGCAGCCAGCTTGCGATGGGCAATCTATAGAACGACATCAAATTGATACAAACAGCTTCAATCAATACATACATAAATGTTATTTATTGTAATCAAATGTTATATGTACATATATTTAACTTAAGCACATCTAGTTACTGGCGTTTTGGGCACAACCGTCATCCTTTCTAGTTTGGTTTAACGCCGCTTTGAACAGTATTTCAGTTACATCACGGGCGTCAGCTTGAGGTGAGGGAGAGCCCCTTTAATCCTTAAACAACTTTTACGGCAAGCATGGGTTGCTGAAGACCTATTCTACCCCGGATCTTCACGGGTCTGGCCACACTTGCCCTCTTTATTGGGTTGAATCCCATGGCCAGTTGAACGTGACTCCATTAAAACTTTCATCCCCATCAGCCTCATTACCAAAACCACCCGCCTCATGTCAGTGTATTGTCCCGAGGACATACAAACAAGAAATATTGCTATGGGTGTTACTTTCTTGCTTTTTAAGATGATAAACGCCATATACTTGATCCTATCAGACATTCGCGTTCCTTTTGAATCACTTCAGGCAACATTAATGTCCACAGATAGCATGAATAGTTTGTTTTTCAAAATAGAACATTATTTATGAAAACGTTTGTCACGTCGTTTGTTTTTATTATTTAGAAGAATTTGTAGTACAATGAAATCATAAAAAGTACCAATCAGCCAGCTATAGTCAAGGTAACTAACCCACGTTCTTTATATTTCCATCTCTTACAGTCCTTACATGCACTGTACATTTGCCTCAAAACAAACAGCGTCCAGTCTATACATACCCCTTTACCCGTTAGATACGCCATGCCCCGGACAACGCCTAAGGCAAATCTCTGAATCTGCTCAAGAATGTCCAGTTTCACTTTGTCCCGACGAGAGGTCAGCCACTTGTCCATCGGTCCATTTTCACAGTACTCCAACACCAAAACTGGGCCCACTGACGAAGAAGGAATGTACGTGAATAGGGACCGACCATTTGATATTCAGAGGGGTGGCAGGGAAGATTTTATCGAAAACAAACAGTCCCAGAAAATCCTTTAAATAAATAGTTAAGCCGTTATATAAAGTATATTGTCTGCCACAAAACTTACATTGTTGCAAGGTGTTGTGCTTCTTTTGATAGTCTGGTTCATAGTTTTTGTTTAATATGAGCTTTTGCAGCTGTATCTAAAAAAAATATCTAGTCTCCACACAAAATCTCATATCAGTTCGTGGACCCCGTGCCAATGTCTACGAGCTTACACATAGCGGAGGATTTTCCTTTCGGATATTCGGATATTCAAGACTGATTTTTTTATATTTAAGGAACCCACTATATAATATTCAAGGGCTGTGGGTGCTAGATCTTTTCTGTGAAAGGAGACTAATATTATATTTTTGTTTTAGTACACCAGGAACATCCTAGTGAACAACTTATTCTTTTGGGTAAAGCCTGAGGGCAAACAATGTTTTCCAAATATTTTTTCAAAAAAAGGTCTCACGTCCTATTCTCATGCCTAAATTGGTACCTGACACATAATCGTAAGTGAAGTGCGCTAATAGTATAATGAGGATGGAGTGGAGCTCAAGGATGGCCTGTTCATGATATTGGCAAGAAGGGTCTTTTGCCGTTTTGAACTGTAATTCATATGGCGCTTAACTTAACGTGGAAGATGAGCCAAGTCGTAGAAGTTTCCGAAACGTTTTGTGAAATGACGAATACGATATGGTGCTGAAACGGCAAGGGACTGAGCGAGTCTGAGATTTGAACCAAACATCTGTGGATCCTGATGCGACTAAGGTACGCAACTCGGAATCATGTCGACTTCAACCCTTGGACAACCCTGGTGTCTTCATGTCTCTATCAGGTTAAAACGGTGTCCGTGTTTTTGACTGTATTTGAAGAGGCTCATATGCTGTTGTATCTCGTACTTACATGCATCATTATCAACAACTGCACCGACGAATTTCAGCACGTTGCGATGTTCCCCGACCTTTGTGGCAGCAAAGTTGATCTTGGCCATCATTAGTAAACTATTTTCCTCATTAGGACTGTCTGCAATAAAAAATCTTTGGAATAGGCACGTTTACAGCCTTAGACGTATCAAGGCCAACACACCTGATGTTGTCCTTTTTTATGAATCACATGAATCATTTATATCATTGAATTTTGTCCCTTTTGACACTAATGTGATTGACAAGATTCAGGAAAAAAATATGGCAAATATGCGGACCTCGCCTTCGAAATGTTACGCTTGCATCCCAAGTACCAAGTCGTTCGACTCCCCATTGTTCTCGGTGCCTTAGGTTTGGTACCCCAAAATCTGTTGACTGACATTGGGAGAGTACCCAGGTTTGCTACCTGGAAAACAGCCCTTATGACAATCTGGCTAATGCAGAAGGATACAGTTTTGGGGAGTCTGCACATTCTCCGAAAATTTCTGGGTGGGTTCGTTATTTAGTCGCCTCTTACAACAAGCATTGTCGCCTTTTACGGCAAGGCATCGATCTACGCAAAAGGGATACGATGACAAGGATCAGCCAATTTAGCGAGCATGAGTACCCGTGCCCGAAAGTCGCATCTTACGACAAGCAACCCGTGAAGATCCTGGGTAGAATAGGTTTTCAGCAACCCATGCTTGCCGTAAAAGGCGACTATGCTTGTAAGAGGCGACTAACGGGATCGGGTGGTAAAAAAAAGGTTCGCTGACTTGGTCGATACATGTCATTGATCCCAGTTGCGTCAATCACTGTATTGTCTGGTCAAGACTCGATTATTTACAGACCGCCGTCATGTAGCTGGAATAATGCTTAGTGCGGCGTAAAACAACAACCAAACGATAAGCGCAGTCGCCTTTTACGGCAAGCATGGGTTACTAAAGACCTATTCTAACTGGGAAATAGGCTACTAACGTAGTGCAATGAAGTACCTGCGCAAAGCTTTATCATCACGATCAACTTGCCAAGGTGTTTAAACCTGCTTCAAAAACTCAAATCTCCAAAACTCAAGCGTCATATTCCAGCTTCTAGACTGATGGTGCACAAATGGTATATACAATGCTCCAATGTACATGAGCGAACTTTGTTGACCCTGAAATAGATATAAATACATTAAAGGTATATGCTACTGTCAAGACAGGCTATTCCTCTATATTGTGGTTACCTTTCAGAGCTTTGGCCGCAACCTCGCGCGATTTTCTGCCAGTCTTGTAAGCAGCCTTGAAAATCCGTGCAAATCTTCCGGTTTGGATCTCCTCCATCTGTGTCAGCTGATCTTTCGAGATGTACCATGGCTGCTTCGTCGTGAACGTAATGCCGCCGTAGAGGTAGATGTCCTCCTCGGGACTGTACGTTTTGTTCTAGAATGGACATTGCAAACATTGATCAAAATTGACATATACAGTGTGTGAATGCTGAGCAGCGGTCAGCATTATACTAGCTACATGGCGACGGCAAGGATATAATCGAATCTAGACCATAACAAGACAGTGACTGAAAGCATAAGTACTAGGAACGATCCACGTCCCCGTTATGCAGATTCCCATCACATCATAAAGGAAAAGACCCATGATTGAAACCCGAGGGGATCCAGGTTAGAATTTGTCCCAGTAATCCTGGCCGAAAGAGTCAATTCACAAAGATCGGGTAATTAGATACGGTGACTTGGCAGATAGGATCATGACCAGGCCGTCGTGGTACAGCTTGGAACATGTCTGAGTGTGGCGTAAAAAGAAGCAAGCCCTGTCATAATCAAGTGCCGATCTCGGCGTGTGAAATACCATGGGCACCCCATTTGAAGACTATACAACTTTGGTCTAATTAGCTTAAAAAGACTTCAATCCAAGCCTATGCCTCTTCTTCTCCCGGATGCTCAAAAATGGCCTCCTATGACGGAAAATTGGACGTGTTGTGAGGCCGTGACCGAAAACATATGACATTGATGGTTTCACCCTTTCTTGGAAAATGTAGATTCATTGGCATATTTCGCTGAAGGGCAGGATAATAAATATGCTGTCCCATTACGCAGCTGCCTTACACAGAACATTAACATAAATACAAGGCTATCAATTTGTCTTTATTGGTCTTGGCTTAGAAAAGAACTCTTGACCTCCGTTGAAGTCATAATAACATATTTATTTATATTTTGCTTGTCCATACATATACGTCTATGACATTAATACATTTATGTTCTATTCACAACATGTGTGTGTCAGTGATTATTGATGCCTACCTCGACACACGCCCTGTCCTTGTGAGGGCCAAGGTTATTGGTCACCGTTCCTGCCACGTGATCCTCACGTTCAGCGTTCCTCTTCTGACGTCCTTTGATCAGTGTCGATATTCTTCCCGTCCGCCACAAGAAGAACCCGACTCCTAGGACTGCCAGTATTATCAGGAGTACTAGCAAGAGAACAGTTGATCATTACAAGGCTAGCAGAGGTAGCCATAAACCGATGGCAAAGAATTATGCTATTAAATATATCGAGGATATTTGGCTAATCTTGTAAAAAAAAACGTTTATCTGATCGAGTGACCTGAGAAATTTCATATTTTCATGAGTGGCGATGTCATACGTGAAAATGAACTTTATCGTTGTATTCAAATGGTAACCTATCCCAGATCTCCTTGCTTGTAGAGCAACCGCTTTAACGTCAAGTGTCTAACCTTCCGCCGTAAGAGCAAAAAGTGTGATATGTAAAAAGAATTTTTAATTTATTAACACTGATTTTAAAACATATTTAACAATTTGCAAGACAGACATCACAGTTTTATAACGTCTTAATGCCAATCGGGATGAAATAGAACGATCTTTCTATGAAGATTACAGGCATTGGCAACAGAACTGATTTACTAAATTAAGAGAAAGAATTCGAATTTAAAACTTTGAAATGTACACTTTAAATTCTCAAAGATAAAAGTTTCGTGCTCCTTACATAATATGTTCAAAATGAGAACATCACAGTTTACATACGAGTATACATGATGCATAAGACGAAAGTATGTTTTATTGTTCATTAAGACCGCACTCAGCAATATTCCAGCTGTGGGACGGCGACCTGTAAATAATCAGGACCACACAAAATAGTGATTGATATTATGAACAACGTCCCACGCCGCCAGGTACGACAACATGCCATCGACAAGTCATAAAACCTGACCACCCGATACATTTTAAAGAATACATGTAGTCTGGGGATCTATTCCAAGCTGGAATCCGCACAGGTGTAAAGTCCTCTCTACTCACCTACGATGATTCCAGCTATACCCCCCGCACTTAGAGCTGCAGCAGTCGTAGTCGTGTCCTCCGCTGAAAATTATTACTTATAATTTGTTTGTTTGTTTTGTGTTTAACGCCGCACTCAGTAATATGCCATCAATATGACGGCGATCTGTAGATACTCGAGTCTGGACCGGACAATACAGTGATTTATATCATGAGCAACGATGACATGTATCAATCAAGTCAGCGAGCCAACCTTATCCCGTTAGTCGTCTCTTACAACAAGCATGGGTTGCTGAAGACCAATTCTAACCGAAATTACTGCGAAGAGTGGTCTCCCTTGAGCATTCAAAAAACCTTTGATGGTTTGTTCTGACTCTAGATTTGTTGCTGACGTGATTATGGCTCTTTCCGCACCACAGTTATGATCTTCTTCAGTTTCTGAACGTGTGTTTGTCATTGAGTCATATGACGCATCACTTTATATATAATGTTTCCTCCAAAGTCAAGGAGTACCAACATTTCTATGAATAACACAGGTTTTGCCTTAAGATATGATTTGATATTTCCTCTTAGTGTGTCTCTAACAGTTACTCTTTGAACATAACTGAAAGAGCGTTTATGCATACAAAAAGTTAAATCCTTTTCATTATTTTTAAAGACCGCCTCCGTGGTCCGGTGGTAGAGCGTTCGCCCGGAGAGCGAAAGGTCCCGGGTCCGATCCCTGGCCGCGTCATACCAAAAGATAGTACTTGTTGCTACCCTGTCTGGCGCTCGGCATAAAGGGGCTAAAACAAGAACTGGTCGGCTCGGAGTCAGTATATTGTGTCTGAGTGGGGTACTCATGTTAAACTGCGGCATGGTATCTCAGTGGGCTAGCACTATAAATCGGCATCTGTCTGGACTAGTGCACACACACACAGACACACACACACACACACACACATGCACATGCACATGCTTGTGGCTATATAAGTGCAATAATCTTGGACGTGAAGTTAAACTCCATTTCACGTCACCTAATTATTTTGGGCAAATTAATATATTTCTTAGAATTTTCGTAGAATATTCATGCGAACGGCCCAATACCTATATATAGACTCGTATGTATTTACCTGTGGCGACGGATGCAACGTTAGCAGTACTCTGCTCTGTGCCATACCCTGCTGTCACCATGACCTTGTATGCTTTGTTGTGTTCAAGGCCAGTGAGGTCATACGATGTATCGTCTTTGAACACGGTGACGACATGGCGTGGCCCGGATTCCGTGTGGTAGGTGATTGTTATAACTGTGCGTTCGTGGCAAGTAGGGGCGTGATCCCACTGTACACGAACAGATGTTGCAGTCAGTCGTTTGGTCCTCACGTTTGAAGGTGCTAAATCTGGGGAAAGATCAAATGAGTTCACTTCACTGCAGCTTCACTGCTACTTGGCAAGATCATATTTTGCCCATTTTACAACAAAATGTATTAAGTACACCACAAGTCAGTCTCTAATACATTTGAAGTGATTGAAAGGCCTGGGGCAAGTGTGGTGTGAGTGTTTCGTGGGCAATACCATGTATTCAAATACTGAAAATGTATTACAAGATATCTATGCGCATGAATAAAAATAATAATCATCATCATCATCATTGAAAGGTCAGTGGCCCGGAAGGGCTTACAAAATATGGAAAAGTGACTAAAGTGAAAAGTTAAACTAATCCATATGCCAGTGGATAAGGTCATGAAATGGTATTGAGTTGTTACTCATCACCGTTGGCGTCATTTAAATTCAGAACGTCAACGCCAGAGAAGAATCAGTCCAAACTCTCTGCCGAAACAGATTCCACTTGGCACAAAGGGCGAAACAGTGATGGAAATTAAATGAAAGGATCATTGAAAATCGGTGATGACGAGGGTGTCCAGGAAAAGGGTAAGCATGTCCTGCTCTACCGTCGCACCATCCACTACTTGTTTGCAAGTGTTTGTTTTATACCTTGTGATCAATTTTGTTTTCGATTGATAAGCAAAGTTTGGTTTCGTAATAAGGTATCTGGTTTGCATCGAACACTCGGATTTTACCGGAAGAATGATCTTTCCATGCTTCTTGTCTGTTTGTTGTTTAACGCCGCACTCAGCAATATTCCAGCTATATGACGGCGGTCTGTAAATAATCGAGTCTTGACCAGACAATCCAGTGATTGACATCATGAGCATCGATCCACGCAATTGAGATCGATGACATGCATCAACCAAGTCAGCGAGCCTGACCACCCGATCCCGTTAGTCGCCCCTTACGACACGCATATTACTTTCCTTGCTAAATAATGCCGCTACGGTTGTTTTTTATGTTGAATAAGGTTTCTGCTTAGTCGGGAAAAGAGGAAGCAGAAAAGTCCAGTGACCTGGTCGTTATGGAAACATAGTTTGGGAAACATTTGGGACTGACATCACTGCTTGACCCAAGCATCCTTATTCGGAAACAATGAGGCTCTGTATCAGAACAAAAATAGCATAATTCATAACATTACTTACAGGACGTGGTGCCGTTTAGCTCCAACAAATTCGTCACCTTTGAACAGAAATTGTCAGGTTGTGAGTACCAGTTTGGATCACGGGTAGTGTCGTAGGTAATGTGAATGAGTGAATGTTGCTTATCGCCTCAGTCAGCGAGCCTCGCACCCGATCCGTTAGTCGCCTCTTACGATAAGCATGGTTTGCTGAAAACCAGTACTAACTCGCAAAGATCTTCAAGTGGTTATGAAGCCTCAGTCAATACAGAGGCAAGAATATTACTTACATGTGGATAAAATAGTATTAAGCACCGTGACCGAGCCGTTCTTGTTAAGCGAACTACTGATTTACTATGCGTTATGAGCGACTCAACGCGTGATGCAAGCTCCATACCCACGCATTCCATCTGAGCTTGATGCAAAGTGCTCTGCCATCTGGAGACGGATGAATTATTGTGTATATTTGTTTGTTTGATGTTTAGCGCCGGACTCAGTAATATTCCAGCTTAATGACGGTGGTTCGTAAATAATCGAGCCTGGACCAGACCATCCAGTGATTGACATCATGAACATCAATCCACGCATTTGGGATGACATGCATCAAACCAAGTCAGCGAGCCTGACCACCCGATCCCGTTAGTCGCCTCTTACGACAAGCATATATAGTCACCTTTTATGGCAAGCATGGGTTGCCGAACACCTAGTTTGGCAAGGGTGGAAACTAGACTTTTATAGTCAGTTAACGCCCGTATGTCGGGAAGATGCACAACGCTGTTATAGAGTTATTTTGCTGACTGTGGCATTTAAATAACTCGCCCACTCTCTCAATGTAAGAAAAGCGTTAGTGGCAGTGTCATATAGCTTCTCACCACTTGTTCCTCGTGGTTGGCTGACTTCAGCCCCGCCCTGTTGACAACGCGTACATGCAGCCGAACCTCGGCCTCTTTGAGGGCGTTCTTGGCCACCATAAGCCAGCAGTTGCTGATGTAGACTTTGCTTATCCGTTTGTAACACACGTTCAGGGCGTTAGGGCAGTAACAATCATGTTCTCTGTCTGTGCAGGCATGCGGCTGAAAGCAGGTGCAAAACAACATGGATGCAGAAAACAGATAATTAAGATGTGAGGATGAGGTTGGACACACTCTGATGATGCAAAATTTGCCAAAATCATATTTGTATTTCCTTTTTGTTCTATTCCCTATGCATTTAGCATGCCATGCATAGATAAATATTTCAGTCAAACTTTCAATCTTGAAAGTTTATTTTTTTTATTGCGATTTGTTTATTGTAGCACCAACAGCAAATCTCATGCTTAAAGCGAACTTTTGTATATATAATGCTCTTAAGTAATTGGACATATATATATATATAAATATATATATATATTTGTACAATTACGTAAGAGCAATATATATATATATATATATATATATATATATATATATATATATATATATATATTTGTACAATTACTTAAGAGCAACACCCTGATCCCTGTGGGGACAAGGAACGTGCCATGCGCTCGGAAGTAGTCTGTGCATGCATAGTCCCTGTTCATGCAGACTGGCCCTTGACAGTATTCACATATTGCAACCCTTCACAGAATCTCTTCCGGGCCTGCTTGAGGAAATCAGTGTTAACTGATGTTCCGTTATGTCATGACATGTTTGTTAAACGTTCCATATATTCCCATATAAATTAGACTAATTAAGGTTATTTTGCGAATCATATTTTCTCTTGAACAATAATTACAAAATTGTTTATAAAATAAGAATAGCATGGACAAGTACAGTAACTATGTCCAATAATACAAAGACATATCACTCACACTGACGGATCTAATGGTTACATTCTTCGTATTCAGTAGGCTACTATCTTCATTATTGAAGACCTTGAGCTCAATACGGTCGATTCCGCTCTCGGCATCGCGTGCGGTCACCATTAATCTAGAGAAACGAACAGAGAATTTCTTGTTTAATAATCAAAAAAGTCTGCAGTGGTGTCATTATGAAATATAAATTTATATATTACAGTACTAACCGCATTGCACAAATCACTGTTCTTCGTGAAATACACTTCAACAATGGACATTTATAAGTCTGATCAATACATGACACGTACACATCACCCTTGGAGTTAACATCATTCCCGTGAGGATGACCCCGTGTGTGTGTGTGTGTGTGTGTGTGTGGGTGGGGGGGGGGGGGGGGGGGGGGGGAACCACAAGCAAACAAACAAAAAGTGACCATGATGCACTGGTGAGTGAGTGAGTTGGGTTTAACGCCGCTTTTAACATTATTCCAGTTATGTCACGGTGTGTCAGCTTAATGCGGGAGGAAAACCCGAAGTGATGCAGGTCTCAGACGTTTAAACCCAACTCACTCATTTTGTCGAACAGTGCAAAACTCCCTATGTACACAGAGTTGGTATATATAAATTAGTAACTAGCGTAAAGTCTTATCGTCTTTGATATATTTCCACAGGAAAGGATTTTTTTAGTATTTGGAGTAAAATGCCAAAGAAATTAACAAATTATACATTACAAAATATGTTGGTTTTTTTAACATCAAATGGATCTCTTACTCCTCAATAGTTCTACAAAAGGGATACAATCTATAATTGGAATCTATAACTTTTGAAAGATCAAACTCAAGCATATAGGACTATCAACTGACACTCCCCAAACAAGCCAGGTTACTAGATCTAGGTTTCTTTTTACCCAGAGCTGAAGTGAACGTTGGATCTCTCGTTCTTGTGGAATGTCATCCCATTGAAACTTGGTGGAGTAAAGTCGTAAGTTACACTTGTCGAGTCCACTTTCGTGTTGTCGAGGATGTCCCTGGCTCTGATCCACACGGTAACGGTGCTCCCGCTGGTAACATTGCCTGGAGTACAAGACACAGATTGTGCAATGGTAACGAGTTTTAGCAACAGTTATACAGACAACGTCCTGCTGAAATTTAAAATCTCGCATATATTGTTGTTATGAAATCCGGAAACGAAGTTTTTTTTCAGTTCAGTGAGTTGAGTGAATTATCTTTTTAATAAGTATCAGTTACCTTTTTGTTTAACCACACACACTGAAGGACGCCAATACGGCCAACCAATGACCCTTCACTCTTAGCAGATCAGGTTCAGGCAGAAAATATATAATAAAACACAAATGGGTCTTTTCTTGCCAAAGAAACAGGTTGATCGTATGTCTTGCCTTGAGAAAGTTTATATTTATTGGAGCCAACTGTAATAATATCTCTTTTTGTGGTTATTCGATCAGATATCTCACTATTTGACATCATGGTCCAAGTACCATTTGTCAGACTGTACAAGGTGAGGTGAGGTGAAATTGGGTTTAACGTTGCGTCCAAGATTATTGCATTTATATAGCGACGTGCATGCACGTGTGTGTTTGTGGCTGCTTGTACTAGTCCGGACTAATGCCGATTTATAGTGCTAGCACACTGAGATACCATGCCACAGTTTAACATGAACACCCCACTCAGACACAGTATACTGACTCCGAGCCAACCTGTCCTTGTTTTAGCCCCTTAATGCCGGGCGCCAGACAGGGTAACAACAAGTACTATCTTTTAAAGTCTTTTGGTATGATCGAACCCCGGGCCTTCCGCTCTCCGGGCGGACGCTCTATCACTAGACCATGGAGGCGGTCTCAGACTTTACAAATAACAACATAACAGAATACAAACCAAAGAATGGCGACTGCATTGTTGTGTCCAGACCAGAGGCATCATTCCAGTTGGGTGGTGTATGTAGCGTTCTGCCTCCAGTCGTATTAACAGCACGTGTCCACTGAAACCTGACAATGCCACGTACATTGGGGATAGCTGCTGTAGTTCTTCTGCCATAATGATCATCATTTGCATAAGGCACTTCCTTGAAGATGATTGGGTTTTCTACAACCTTTACCTTGAAGGGGAGGATGGTGTTGAGGAATTTACCACTTTCATGGACATAATTGAGAAAATGGTTTTGCCAGTTGATCACTAGTGGCTTGGAGGCATCGGTCATCCACTGGAAGCCCTGGTCTTGTACAGCAGATGATATGAACAGGGCATGGTTTGGATCAGTGGTCACTTCTGACTCTTTGTCGTACAGTGCAAACCTTCTCATGTATACAGAGTTATTGGCCTTGTCCATGGCTTCAAGAATGAAGGAATACATCCCTGGTCTTGTGGGGGCATAGGGAAGAGGATATGACATGGGATCGGTGTGGTAAACTTGTCTGTGAACAACAGGTCTCAGTTTGTCTACTTCCGTCAAGCTTCCATTCCCAGTGGGTTCAAGTTTGAAGGCTTCCCATGTGTATTTGTCCATACCGGATCTGGCATCAGTCCAGCCATCCCATGCCATTGTGATAGGTTGCTATTAAAGGAAAAAGTAAACGCGTGCAAGTCATCCACTTCCTGAGAAATAAAATGAAGTAAGGGTTCAGTTATTTGATTTGGGTTTACTAAATTACTTGATTTACAGATTAGCTGATCCAAACTGTCACAAATGTGGAATAGTTCTTGAACGCTTTTTCATCATCTCGCCTAGTCTGTCAACATGTTTCGGCAAATCTTGACAGTAGGTCAATATTGGAAGAGAATAAACTCTGTGATTTTACATGCCCCCCAAACAACATTTTCGCAATTCATTTATACCCTTATAGATATTTTTTTACATATATGTTTTCAATGTCACTTAGTAAATATTCTGGCAAACGTTAAATAATTCTTACTTTCTTGAATGTGAAGTTAAGTGTACGATGAACACTCTTACCTTTGTGAATTCTGGGTGAATCTGAAAAGCATCATTGGGACTGTTGTACACCGGTTCACCCGTGTCAACGTGGAAGGCCACAGTGCTGACAGCATCCTCTCCGGTATAGTGTTGTGTGGCTGTAGTATCTGTTCCGACTAGCTTCCGGAAGCCACCACTTGAAACTCGGAAGGTCAAGGACAACCTGAACAATTGCATAAAATGTGACATCAATTATATGTTTTGTTTTGTTCGTTTGTTGCTTTACGCCGCACTCAGCAATATTCCAGCTATATGACGGCGGTCTGTAAATAATCGAGTCTGGACCAGACAATCAAGTGATTCACATCATGAACATCGATCCACGCAATTAGGATACGATGACATGCTTCAACCAAGTCAGTGAGCCTGACAACCCGATCCAGTTAGTCGCCTCTTACGACAAGCATTGTCGCTTTTTAGGGCAAGCATGGGTTGCTGAAGACCTATTCTACCCCGGATCTTCACGGGTCTGGCCACACTTGCCCACTTTATTGGGTTGAATCCCAGTTGAACTTGACTCAATGAAAACCTTCATCCCCATCAGCCTCATTACGAAAACCACCGGCCTCATGTCAGTGTATTGCCCCCGAGGACCTTACACACAAGAAATATTGCTATGAGTGTTACCTCCATGCTTCATAAGATGATATACACCATATACTTTATCCTGCCAGACACGTTTCGTGTTTCATGGGAGTGAGTGATTTGGGTTTATCGTCACTTTGAACAGTATTCCAGTTATATAACGGCGTGTCAGCGTAATGCGAGAGAAATTCCCGAAGTGATTCAAGTCTGAGACGAAAGCCACGAGAACGGGGATGGTGTTGACAAACCTAGAAACATAATCCGGGCGGATCGGGATTCGAAACCAAATCATAGTTCTCAAGTCAGCGAGCCTGACCACCCGATCCCATCAGTTTCCTTCTTACAAGCATTATCGCCTTTTAGGGCAAGCATTGGTTGCTGAAGACCTATTCTACCCCGGATCTTCACGGGTGGCATATTTCTTGAATAGTACGAAAACGCACACACATACACGCGCACACACATACACACGAGCATGCACTTCGCTATATAATCTTGAACGCGGCGTTAAACCCAATGTCACCCCAACTCATGTCTATTGTGAAGGATGATAACACAGACAGTCAGGTCAATATCTCTCTATTCTTTCAGGAGACTTACCTGTCCCCATCTGTCAAGTAGGAGGTATAATATTTTGTAAAGGAGCATTGGATCCTCTCTTTGGGAATTTCGGGGCCAACTGGATCACTGCATTGAATATCCTCGTCTTCAGAGACTGAAGTCGGTCCGCCTTAACATTTAGAAACAAATATGAGCTTTGGATAAAAATATCTAATCGATGTCCAAATGGCACGCCATCTCGCTGAAATATGGATCGAGTTAGCACACCTAAGATCAAATGTATTTCCCTGCTTTTAATAATTGTTTATTTTGTATTATTTCCCTATTCTAACCTCTTTTCAAATTGCAGAAATATTTAATTTCACACTAGTATAAGACAGGACTACTCACAGATGTCATTGATTAATGTAATATTTACAATTCATTTGTGTTTGTGACGGGTGCCATCGAAGGGGCGGGATACGCTTACCTTAACACCTGTTATCATCACTATTTGATAGTGATTCCTCAACTCACGTTCAAGTTATTGTCGGAATCGTAAAATCGACTCTGCTTTCCCCCCACATAAGCTGACACGCTACACATAAAATACTTCCAAGCACAGAAAAACCCATGTCACCCATTCTGTATGACAAAGAGCGTATCGAATTACTTACTAAGCTTAAAATAGGCTCTGGCAATTCCTGTTTTAGCCTCACTGATGTAGGAAGGAGGGGGATATGGTAGATCTCGGCCTTTGAACATAGCACTGGCGGTGACGCTCAGGTTGTTCAGTTGTTGTCGATTTGTCCATACGATGACTTCTTCGGTCTTGTCCGTGCCATCGGCTATAAATCCGAATATCTCTCTCTTTGCCTGTCCTTCATCTTTCCAGTAGGAAAACTGTGCCCGTATCTGTGTGACCTCCGGAGTTTGGGTATCTTTCACTGTAGGATGACATAAGACAAGGGAAAACGTATCAAAGCGCGCATGACATACCGTATTCGACGTAATAAGCGCCCCACTGTAATAAGCGCCCACGGCGATATTTTCTAATATATTGACTAGTGAACAATACCAATTAGCACCCTTCCGATTGATCAATGTACACAAGACTTATTTATTAGTGTATAATACACAATCCTGTGTTATAAGCACCTTTAATTACGGGCAACTGAATTCTGGAAAAATATATCTGTCGTGTATAATACGCACAAACTTTTCTTTTGTATCATTTCAGGCTATCAGCATAAACCACAAAATTTACGATCTTTCAACAAAATTATATTCTAAAAAGAGCTCCCTATTTCTAATTTTGAGAGCGCCCTGGGCGCTTATTACGTTGGATACGGTAGTATGACCATTGAGGTTAGAACAGCGATATTCTAAAGTGTGAAACACTGTCGAAATTATGATCGACACCGGTTTCTCTAACACTGAGTTACATTTTTACAGTCACTTACTCTAATAATTACAAAGACGCAATTTAAGTAAAACAAAAGCGAGACAAAACCTGCATGCTGGTCCGTTATCATAAAAAGACAGAGTCCATTGTAAGATTACGACTACACCATAAATATGCTATTATGAATCACTATAGAATGCTGATGATACCAGGTGTTCGCGAAAAGGTGAGCGTGTCCTGTCGCGCCTGTGGCACCTGTCACAAATACATGCAAAGGCAAGTCTAGTGTTCATGCGAAGAAACACGGAACACATGGTACAAGTCCAAGTAGGGAATGGTTTTGGGACATCATGAAACGCTATATGTATATGTTTATCAAATATCAAGGTTTCGACACCTTTCAACATATAGCCAAAAGTCTAGTAAAAATGCATATTAAGGATTCGTGAAATATTGTAGGACACGACCGCGGTTGTATGTGGACAATTTATTACTAGCCACATTTTGTTTCCATCCTTCTAACAACTTGACAGTTAGAATTCAATATTTCAATTACAGAAACGACATTTCAACAGTGTTAAGATGTATTTTCAAGCAGCAGTTTAGGTGTCTAGAGGCCGAGAGAAAGATCGTAAGATCTAGTTGTGTGTAAGGGGTCAGTATCATTGTGGCAGCTGGTTTTCACTATTTTCCCTACGGGGACGTATGCGTGGAATATATTTTAAACTACTACCACTTACGATGTACACAAAATTGTCCATTGAAGTCCTGCATGCAGTTGCACACGACGTTCCCACCATTGCCTTGGCAGTCCCCCGGGTAGCATGGCCGTTCATTGTTACAGTCGACTGATAATAGAGATACACCACCAGTTGATAGAACTGTTTTACATTAATCAAGTGATAAAAAGTAAAGATATGTATACATATACATTGTTACTCTATAAAGGTAATAAAATATATATATATCAACTGCTTTACGTACTTAACGGAGACACTGAATCAAACCACGTTTGATCTACTCCTGAGTCTACTCCATGAAAATATTTACACTAACAACACGTGAAATCCGATTTTATCCACCTGCTGATCCCCCCCCCCCCCCCTCTTCCCCCCCCCCCTCTTCTTATTAACCATAACACAGGAAAAAGACAAAAATACAACACAGTCAATAGTTTGTAGGTAGTTATGCAATCCCTATTATGCAGTCGCCATAAAAGCAGAATGGCCGAAGAAATAGGGGTTGCAGTTTGTTACCTGCCAATCAAAACTCAACTCCACTATGGTGGCCTTTGTCTTTGCGGTCATTGAGTTGGTTCATCAAGGTTAATGTCCGGGTTGGATTCCCCACATGGATCTATAATGTGCGACGCCTATTGTTGGTGTCCCCCGCCAGGATAAGGCTTGAATAGTACTAAACGCGGCCTAACACCTACCTCACTCTCTCGGCTACTCGCCTTCTCATCAGCTATAAGATTATCGAAGAGACCTTTACTAAATATGTACTTACGCCCGGTGCATCTGGTTCCAAGATATCCTGACCTGCAGAGACACGTTCCTGGCTTCGTGCAAGTACCACCATAAGCACACGGGGGATAGCAGATGGCTACAATGAGAGTGTTATCAAATTGCACGTAGAAAATTAATCCATAGCCAATATGATGCAGTTGTTTTCGGTTCTTTATAAGAACAGGAGGAACAGAAAGCATTATGTATTTCTATATTTTAAACAAACAAAAATCACTTTCTCTTCCATATTCCAAAACTAACGCAAGAGTCATGGGCAATCATGATATGCAGCATTCTTTTCCATCGACCCAAAATAGATAGATGTTTATGAATTATTACGTATGTTGCAGATTTCATTTCCATTGTGAGTCCACCCGGGACAGCACTTATAACGCCATGTATAAACGGGTTCGTTTACATATGCATGGGCACAGCACCTGAAACAAGAATAAGTATCATCACGTCACCTATGTTTATATACACCTGGAAAAGGTTGTGCATACCCAGTAGGTTTTCAATGACAAATGAAACAAGTGTTGGAATGAATTTACAGACCAAATAAGTGTGATATTAATCACGATATTGTAGTACAACCACCGGTGATGTCACCCAGAAAACAATGTCGGATCAGCTTATCTCGATGCAAAGCTAAACAGGAGGCAGCAGTGCCTGTATACCACGGCCAATGATGTTCCCAAATGTGCTCCAGTGGACTCAGATCTAGGCTCATGGCGGGCCAAGGCAAAATGGTCACAGCATTGTTCTGGATCGACGGGCTTGATGTTCCTAGGTGTACAGGTTTCTTGTGCCTCCGAGCCCTCCGTCGTCCATCAGTGACATGGAGCAGGAGCCTGATTTCGCCCGACCAATGCATTTTCCGCCAGGTTCAACATGCCAAACAGAACCTCTGATGGGAATCTGCCAGTAGTGGGAGTCCTGTCACCATTCATGCTGCCCTGAAGCGGTTCCTCAACTTTCTGGTGGACACATGCATTGTCGCATTGTGGTACCAATCGAAGCAGTGCCCTATCTTCACGCTGAGGCGTCACAGACGCTCAGCCTGACCGTGAAACCTCCGCTACGTCAGCAACAACAGACAACAAGGAGGCAAGAAAATACAAATATACCGAGTCGGATAAACTTACCTCCACCACCAACAACGTGCTGTACAGTAAGCTCGCCGGCTCTCGTAGTGAACCGCGGAGTAAGGACATATCTGTCTGAAAGAAGAACAAATATAATTGAAAGGATTAGGTATTTTAACGATCCTTTTATCCCCTTTGGCAATTATCCCTTATCCCTTATCTATCCCTTATTTAAAATGGTTTGGATTCAGTTATTCTTGGTTGATATGACGCCATATACACGGACTTTACATGCCTGTGTCAAGAAGCACAACAAAACCAACAGAATCATATTTTTATCAACATTAATTTTCAAACTATTACGTAACACACATGTTATAAGTACTGAATTTAATTATCGCGATTCTTCAATATCACACATGGCAATGAATGTTTGTTTCTTGCTTAACTCATCACTTAGCATTATTCCAGCTATATATGACGACGGTCTTTAAATAATCGAAGCTTTACCAGACAATCCAGTGATTGACTTCATAAGTATCGATCTACCCAATTGGGATACGATGACATGCATCAACCAAGTCAGCTAACCTGACCACCCGATCCCGTTAGTATCATGCACATTCAGTGTGACAAGCATGCGTTGCTATTCTAACCCTGATCTTCACGGGCCTTGCAATGATTATGAAAACCTGCATGATTCCGTTCTCAGCAGTTTTAACTAATGTTTAAGAACTGTAAACTGCATGTATGGACACATTATACATTTCTTCTAAAACTGTCTTATAACATTGTTGGTTGGTTTGTTGTTTTACGCCGCACTCAGCAATATTCCTGCTATATGACGGCGGTCTGTAAAAAATCCAGACAATCCAGTGATTACTATCATGAGCATTGGTCCACGCAATTGGAATCGATGACGTGCATCAACCAAGTCAGCGAGGCTGACCACCCGAAGCATAGTCGCTTTTTACGGCAAGCATGGGTTAGATCCGAATCTATCAGAATTAAGGTATCGTTGGACAAAGGGAGAATGTATTTTTTCCATAACATCATAACACACTGTACCCCATTTGTCCGAATGAATAAAACGTCTCACAAGAAGCTGAGAAAGATAATTTTGGATTAACGAATAGATTGAAGAGTGTATTCGTGGCTCGTGTCCGTGTTATCGAAGAATTATGTGTTGTGGTTTAGACCAAATTTATAAAATGATGTGATCATGATTACAGCCGAATATGATCTCTATACGAGGTTTCAAGTCTGAGATTAGCATTTTCTAAGTCTGTGCATCAACCGAATACAATTACATCCACATGTACGCCTTATACCCATTTATGAAAAAAACTCAATATAATGAGTGAAGAGCATTCAATTGTTTCTGGGGACTAGTAATAGAGTATACCAACATCATCAACAAATGATGCTTACATCCATGCTTACAAATATACTAAATTGGCTTGTAGTTCGGTAGCAAAGTCATTAATATTCCTTGGTTAATAGTTTCAGACTTAAACTATTCTTTGACCGTACAACGGAGAAAGAATAGTTGCTTCTAACCTTGTTTGTCATTCACAACAGCGTCTTGAAATGGTAGTCTCAACATGCATTGAAAATGAACGTTCAAAGTCTAATGTTTAAAGTTGTCATGACAGACACTTTTTAACAATGAATGTTTTTTTTATTCTTCAACCATATATGACTTTCTTGTATATCATTCAGATCAGAATAATAATCTGCTTAAGAACCGCGTTTGCAATGTGATGTGACACGTGATGTTTACGCGTTGCGAGGAATGTATTTAAACAGATCGACTTAAGAAAACACATTCGGTTTAACATGCTATACGGGTTTGAAAATGACTGACACGGTGTATTAATAGGTCCCTAGTAACCAATGCCTGATCTTCACTTTTTCCCTTCCATTACAGTCGTCTGTTCAATGCAGCAGACGTACTTGATTTGCGAACCCTTGCATCTTAAAGGGACGCACCTTCACCCAGCGTATTCCTCAAGCTTCTGTGCCACCCTTTTGCCAAAGCATAAACGAAACACCCTCCACTTTGTTCGTTTGTTACAAGTTCAGTGACAAATCAAGTGAATTGTGAACTTGTTTCAAGTGAAAGCTGGATGCATTGCAAAGAAAGAGAACAGTAATATGCTCAAGAAGGAAGTAAAATATTTCTTCGGCCACAGTGTCGCGCTTAGAAAAGTATTGAAAAGAAAAGAATGTTAAAATCCTTCGTGTCTGCTGCATTGAAAAGGCGATTGTGATGGATGGCAAAGCCTACCCTGACCCATAGTCTTTTAGAAGGACAAATGCATCCAGTCTTAATTTCAACAGGGAAGGTATATATGGCACTGGTGTTCATAGTGGTTAGTGTACAGCTCTCAACGCCCGTATATGGTCTTAAAATTGTAATGTATACGTAGTATCATTTTTCACGTGACTACCACATCATAAAACACAAACGGACGGCATTCGTGACCATAACCTCGATATCAAGTTGTATTGAAAACAATGAAACCAATTTCTATCAACAATTAAAAATACATTTTAATTATAAAAATCAGCAGTTATGTTCTGCGAAGCCCTAAGGCCCGCCTTCTACTTTATCACCTGTACAAGAATCATCATCAATAACTGCTTTTATTCACTGTAGGGGACCACCAGCGGTGGGACATCAGAGATACAATTCATTAACAATTGTATAGAACATGTGAGACAGCAAGATGAAAGATCCATAAACACTCAAAGAAAAGTAATGTATCTGTCTTATAAAAAATGACTATTCAGGAATACGATGAACTCCCATAACTTCTTGATAACAGATATAAGTTTGCATTTCAAAATGTTTACCTAACCGTATTTGTATTTCTTAATCAAGATAGCTTATATATTGAATAGTGATTAATCACAAGGGAACGGGTAGTGGAATCCGAGGTATACCTGTCCATCGATCCGTTTCTCTTGATATTTTATTGTAACAATTACTGAAAAAAGTAATGGTTGGGAAATATATCTTACAAAACACCGAGCTTTAGACGTTTACCACTTTGATGAAACCCTCGAGTATGGGAATAGTACTGACAAACCTAGAAACATGTGTCAAGTTGTTTTGTGTTAACACTTAAAGAAGGTCTTGTACAAAGGTTTTCAAGCAAAATCATTGTAACGTCATCAGCAAATAATAGCAAAATTAGTATATGGGTTTATTTGTGTGACTTTACACTAATATTCTAGTTCTTTTGTCAGTTCTTGAAAAGAAAAAAGTAAATAGGAACGGACTTACAATACACCCTTGCCTAACACCTAGAATGCCTTCAAAATCATTGATCGTAACTTGTGAACCGTATCTGGAATTTCGGAGGAGGGACCAGAAACGATTTGTTGAGGTTCTTTAATTAGATTCATAATCATCCTCATTCCCTGGGATTTTTTCTTTGGAATTAAGAGACCGGTGAATAAAATCCCTTGCTTTGTTTTGTACAGTTATGATTACAAGGTCGGCTGATGGAATCGACGTTCGATAGGACGGGATGTAAGAGCAGGAAGAACCTGGAAGAGTAGTTTGTACCCATGAGTGATGACATCGAGAATTCCAACTGTCTGCGCAGAACAACAAACATCCTCCCACTGGACCTGGAGTCAGTGAAACGGGGAAAAGCCAGGTCGATAGGGTCTGAAGCTTCAAGAGGAGCAGGTATTGAGCACAGTCTGCACTTACACCGGCCGGCAGATCTAAAGCGACGTTGCAGGCTCATTGATTTGGTTGATGCATGTCATCGATTCCAGTTGCGTGGATCGATGCTCATGATGTTAGTCACTGGCTTGTCTGGTCCAGGCTCGATTATTTACATAGCTACATGTTTACATATCTATGACAAGACTTGTTTTGTCTTTTTACATGGACCCATCATATAGATGAAATATTGTGGCGTTAAACAAAACCAAATACAAGAACGAACATAGCCAATGAAACCTGCAAACGCCGAACCTAAGAGGACTTGCTATAAGACACATCACAAACTCTATTTGGTTGTCACTCACGACAACGACAAATTTTACAACAGTCTATATAAAAGTGTTTCCAACATCCAAAGAAAATGAGCGTGCAAATTCTTACGTTTATGCTGGTCGCGATGGCCACTTCTTTCTTAACCTATATATGACTTCAAGGTATCTCCTTCAACTCAGAGAAATGTTCTGCTTAAGAACCGTTCAACTGAATGTGCTGACAGATGATGTTTACGCATTGCAATGCATGTGTATAAATAGGTCGATTAACAAAGCTATTCACGGGTTATAAATTTTAATACATTCCACGGTGGCTTTTCCAAGGCAGGATCGGTACCCAGAGAACCAGCCTGTCGTTAAGAGAGAACCGCCTTCGTGGTGGAATGATAAAGTAGCCACACACACGCGCGCGCATGCACGTCGATATATACAACTCAAAGTTTGCTGAGAATTACATTTTCTGAATTCCCAACGACACATACAAATAACCATGGGCAAAATCGTGCAGATAAATGTTTAATTGAAGGGAAATTATTGGAATTTGTTGAAAATACCAAAGTAACACGTTATCGACCGGTAATATTAGACTGCCATAAAAAGTGATTATGACAGCAACCATTAAATCTCCAAATCACGGAGCAAGTGTCAACAGCGGGTATATGATCCACGAGATGCGATTACAGTCTGGCACCGTCGTCTCATGTTTCCAATAAACGTCTGGATGGATGGCAAGGGAAGGCTGTTCCACTCTTTGGTGAGAGCAATTCCGAGTTCTTGGAGAGAACCTGGATACACAGGACGACGTGCGACGGACACGTGAAGCATGTTCTAAAGGTGTTTGATCGGGTTGAAGTCCGGTGAACGAGCTAGCCACTCCATATGGACGATTGTCTCTTGCTTAAGGTAACGATCAACCACTCTGGCACAACTCTCTACCAAGTTAGGACCAACTGCACCAGTATATGGTCTCACCTACACATCCAAGATCTCATCTCTGTAACGCAAACCTGTCATCGTGCCCCTCACTAACACATGGAGATCAGTTCTCCCTGCCCGGCTTATTCCACCCCAAACCATTAATGAGCCATCTCCCCATCTGTCCTGTTCGGCTACGTCAG